AACTCAAGACATATATTGACGAGAATTTAGTGAAGAATTTCATACGCCATTCAAAATCTCCAGCAGGAGCTCCAATTCTATTCGTAAAGAAAAAAGATGGATCTTTACGAATGTGTGTTGATTATCGAGGACTCAACAAGATCACAATCAAGAACAGATATCCATTACCTTTGATATCAGGACTCCTTGATCAGTTGAATCAAGCTAAGATCTATACAAAAATAGATCTAAGAGAAGCATATAATCTAGTACAGATCAAAGAAGGAGATGAATGGAAGACTGCATTTTGAACCAGGTATAGACATTTCGAATATAATGTCATGCGCTTTGGACTCACGAATGCACCAACTGCTTTTTAACATCTCATGAATGATGTATTACGTGAATTCTTAGACAATTTTATCGTCTGCTATCTAGACGATATCCTAATCTATTCTAAGAACGTCGAAGAACATGAAATACATGTTCGTCAAGTATTACAAAAACTTAGAGATGCAGGATTGTACGCCAAGATGGAAAAGTGTATATTTCACACCACTCAAGTCGACTTTTTAGGATACATCATTTCAAATGATGGTCTCATGATGGATTCTAAGAAAGTCCAAATAATCATGGATTGGAAGATTCTAAGGACAGTAAGAGATGTCCAATGTTTCTTGGGATTTGCCAATTACTATCGGATCTTCATCAAAGATTTCTCACGAATTGCAGCTCCACTTACGCGCTTGACTAGTAAAGATAAATTCCAATGGAATCAAGAAGCGGAAGCAGCATTTGAAGCCTTGAAGACATCGTTTGTCTCTGCACCAGTCTTATATCGTGTTGACTTTTCCAAGGCATTTTTTATGGAAACAGATGCATCAGATTTTGCCTTGGGTGCAGTTTTATCACAAATGGGACCAGATGACAAACTTCATCCGATAGCTTTTCATTCAAGAAAATTCTCAGCAGCCGAGATCAATTATGAGATCCACGAAAAAGAACTACTTGCAATCGTGGATTCCTTTCAAGAATGGCGTCATTATCTAGAAGGCGCTTCTAGTCCAGTCACTGTGTATACAGATCACAAGAACCTCAAGTATTTCATGTCAGCACGCGTGTTGAATCATCGTCAAGCTCGTTGGAGTATGTCTTTGTCAAGATTCGAGTTCATTATCACTTATCGGCCAGGAAAACAATAAGGTTTATCCGATGCCCTATCTAGACGTTATTATTTTGCACCAAAAGAAGAAGTTGCAGCTTTTGAGCAACAAAGAACGGTCCTCTTGAAACCAGAGCAATTTCATCTCCGAGCAATGAAATCAACATTGACTGTTGATTCAACTTTTTTCAAGCAAATTCAGTCCAGTATGTCCTCAGACCCTCTTGTTCATGATATCGAGAATAATTCTTCCAAGTCTCATGATCCTTCTAAGTTCGAGTTCAAGAATAATCTATTATATTTTGAAGGACGCCTATATGTTTCAAAAAGAGAAGCACGTTTACGTGTTCTTCAAGCACGTCATGACTTTCCAGCAACAGGGCACTTTGGATATAATAAGACTTTGGAACTCATATCAAGAGATTTTTGGTGGCCTCAAATGTGGAAGTCAGTCAAAGACTTTGTACAATCATGTGATATTTGTTCAAGATCAAAAATTCCTCGTCATCGACCTTACGGACTTCTTCAGCCATTACCTATACCAGAACAACCATGGTCTTCTGTTTCTATGGATTTCATCATAGATCTTCTAAGCTCAAGATCTTATGATTCTATATTTGTGATAGTAGATCATTTCACCAAGATGGCACATTTTGTGCCATGTACAAAATCTATCACAGGTGAAGAAACAGCTAAGCTTTTCATTGATAATATCTATCGCTATCATGGATTACCTAAAGATATCATATCGGATAGGGGAACTCAATTTGTGTCAAGATTTTGGAGGACCCTTTTCAAGATTTTAAAAGTGGACATAAAGCTATCTTCGGCTTTCCATCCTCAAATTGATGGACAAACAGAGCACGTTAAGCAAGTCTTGGAGCAATATTTAAGGTGTACTATCAACTACCAACAAGATGATTGGACAACCCTTTTGCCATTGGCAGAGTTTACTTATAATAATACGGTACATTCTTCCACGCAACAAACATCTTTCTTTGTCAATTATGGCTATCATCCACGACTTGATACTTTTGATTTTTCAAAAGTTGATAATCCTGCAGCAGAAGATATGGCAAATCGGTTGTCAAAGTTACATGCAATAATGAAGACGCAATTGAAGGAAGCTCAAGAACGACAAAAGATAAACGCAGATCTATATCGTAAGGAGCAACTACAACTCAATGTCGGTGATAAGGTATGGCTACTTCGTCGCAATATCAACACTACTCGACCTTGTGACAAGTTGGACTATCGTAGGCTTGGCCGTTTTTTTGTTTCTGAATAGATCAACCCAGTTGCATATCGGTTACATCTACCGGAGTCAATGAAGATCCATCCTGTATTCTACGTGTCTCTTTTTGAACCATATAAGACAGTGGATATACAAGGAAGAAGACAAATACCACCGCCTCCTATAGAAGTAGATAATAATGAAGAATTTGAGGTGGAAGAGATATTAGACTTAAGGCGGCTCCGAAATAAGCTGGAATATCTTGTTCATTGGCGCGGATATGATATTAGTGAATGCACATGAGAGCCATCCAGGAATCTAGCAAATGCATCAGCTAAAGTCAAAGTTTTTCATCAACGACATCCATCAAAACCAAGATGAAAATCTCTCTTATTAAAGAGACAAGATTGAAGCAAGATAACATTCAATTTCCTATCCTTGTTTGTAACTTCTTTGTATTTGTGACGCTAATTAGATGGAGAGCCAACAACCAGCGGATTCAACTCAAGAACCTTCGTTTGCTGACTTACCGGACGAGACATTACGATTGTCACAACCTTCAAGACGACGCAATCGAGATGAAGATCTTCAAGAACGACATGTTCTACCTCGAATAGATGGTGAGATACAACACGTTTGGTATCACGATTTGGGAAGGGACTCTCGATGTTTGGTGATGTTGCTAGAGGTAGGAACAACTCCTGATGGTGTTCCAAATATTCTATTCGATGGAAGTTACGAAGGCCTCAACAATGATCAAATAACTGGGTAGTCTTCCCACCCTGGTATGGGACACTACCGATGGTTGAGAGGCCCTATCAATCATCTTCGAAGAGAACAGAGATCAGAGTATGTGGCGAATACAATTCGTCGCATCATAGATTTCTTCAACATATGATGACTGCTCCTCGTGGAACTCGTCTCTAGAAGGGGGGGTAATGTCACGGCCATAATCATGTAAGCTAATAATTACATATAGAAATAGGTAGAAGTAAGTAAAAGTATATAAAAGTAAGTTAATTCTATAATATTTAATATAGAAGCTTCCTAGAAACTTCCTAGACGCTGCTTTGACTTCATAGGTGTCTTTAATTGACTTTTTGGATTAAAAACGTGGTCAACAAGTTGGCCATGTGCCACACATGTTGTTAGCTTGAAGATCAAGCTAACTATGTGGTCCACACGTAGAAAAACTTGCCTTGTAAGTCAAGGCATGTGTCCTACAAAGTCAACACATATTGGAGGTCCTATAGAACGTCACCACGTAGCCCCTAGTTAGATAGTATATATAGAGACAAGAGTGAAGGCTTCTTCACTCTTGTCAACTCCTTTCTTGCTTCTAGTCTAGTTTCAAGGGTCTCTAGTTTTCTTGTCTTTTGGCAATAGCCATTTTAGTTTCTCTTTTCAATATACATACTTATTATTCATATTTTGTTACTTTTCTTTGAGTGAAGGCTTACTTGTCTGAACTGTTTTTTCATCGAGTTCTTGTCCTTGACAGAATATTTCGATAGAGTTTCTATATTTTTTTTTTCATATATATGTTAAAAATCTTGATATTAGCTTAGAATGCTACTTGAAATCTTCTCACCATTAAAAAAAAGTGCAATATAAATGACATAAAGTAGTCCTTCTTTTGCAGTATGTAAGAAAGTTCTTGCACCTACAAGTTTAATATACTAGGCTTATGACTTTTTACTTGATCAACTATAATCTCAATTATACTTTCAAAAAAGTTAAGACTTCAAGAAATTCAATTTATTTTTGAATTATATTTTTTTAGCCATGATAAACCTAAAATGATTAGATTAGAAAGAGATCTAATGATATTATATATTATAAAGCTACTATGAATATTACCTGTTACTTCTATAGGAAGGATTTCATAAGTAACATCTTCTGAAGATAATGGACTATCATCTATAACTTCTATGTGAATAAGTTTAGTTTTCTCCACTAAAGATATGCTATATTTTTTAGCAAATTCTTCAATTAAAAAACATGCTAAAGCTCTTGAATTGAACAAAGCATAAGCTTTATGATGTTTAGGTCCTAAAATAACATTTATTGTAAAATAGTTATCAATAAAAAAACATAGTAGTGTTCAAAAACTAGTAGTATGTTTTTTTTTATTGATAACTACTATGTTTTTTTTATTGACAACTACTATTTCAAAGCTTGTCTTGAATCAAAATGCTTATCTAAAACTACACGTTATAATAAGATATAACTTTAAAATTTTATCTAAAATTTTTTACTTTCAAATTCTTTACACTATTATGTATTATTACATAAATATTATTTCTTCACTTTTGTAGATAAGAATATGAATAGTTAATGGTTTTTTGTCTATAATTTATATTCAAAAAATCTATTTAAGCTTAGGTATTTTATTTAGTTTTTTAGATGTTTTTATTATTCTGATTTAGTAATATTATTATTTGATATTTTTTTTTAAATTCAAAAATTTTCATAATCCTCATACATTTTTTATCAAATAATACCAACAATGTTACTTTTAGATAAAAAAAATTTATGGTGTTTTGAGCACATGAGTTATCAATAAAAAACATAGAAGTGTTCAAAAAGAATTTACTTGTATTCTAGGTTGAGATAAAAACCAAATGAGATAAATTTATTTGATCATTTAATTTATTATATGTAGATTTAACAACTTTAAATTAATAAATTTTACAAAAACTAAATCTGTAGGAAAGAAATGTTCAGAATAGAGAGTTTCATTTGCTACCTGCTATCTAGGAAATGGCCTATGGGGAAACAACAACCTAAGAAAAGAAAAAAAAAATCTTACAGAAAATGTTTTTATTTGTGTATTAAACAAATTGTAAAGAAACCTCTCTAAAAAAATTCAATGTTGCAAAATCATTTGCATATGCAGGTGATGATGGATTTGAGCTCTACTACAAAATTTCTTTTGTGGACAGGATCCCACCCCCACTGCTAACTCTACGAATGACTTCGCTCAACCATTCGTGGCCTGACATGCATAGATTTGTAAGTATACAACCGAGCGCACCACACAAAAGCCAAGGTATTGGCAAAGCTGAGAATAGCCAGAAGCCAATAAAAATAATCCATGTGGCTCCGATTGAGGTTGTTACCGATCCAACCACCATTTGAATCATACGTGATACGAGTGACAATTGACACCAAGACACTACTTACAAAACTTCCCACCGCAACAGTGCTGAGATACAACGCATTGCCAAGGCTTCTCATCGAATCAGGAGCTTGGTCCAGAAAGAACTCCATCTGACCAACACTGATGAACACTTCACAGATGCCTGTGAGTACATACTGTGGAAGCAGCCAGAAGATGGATATAGGCACTTGGCCAAAATCCATGCTTCCGGAGTCAGCTACCACTTTGAGACGCCGCATTTCCACGGCTGCAGCTACTGCAATAGACAGGCTTGAAAGGATTTGTCCCACTCCGATGCGCTGCAGTAAAGTCAGTCCCCGAATATCGCCCGTGAAGCCGCGAACAAAGGGAACGAAATACTTGTCATAAAGGGGAAGAAAAATGCAAATAGTGGCCGTGATGAAGAGCGGCATAGAAGCTGCAGGAATCTCAAAATTGGGCCCCATGTGACGGTCCATGGTGCTTCCTTGGTTTAGAAAGAGTGTACCGACTTGGGCAAATACGGCGGAGAACATGAGATTTGTCCACCAGATGGGAAGCATTCGGACTAGTAGCTTCACCTCCTCCACTTGAGTGACTGTGCACACCTCCCAGGGGCTTTGCCTACCGTCCACCTTGTGCATGCTGCCCTCATCGCTTGGTTTCACAGCTGCTTTGTCCAGAAAACTGTAGCAGACATTAGTACCGTTTCATTAATCTACCAGTGAAAATTACAGAGTTCTTTAAAGGGAATCCTACACTCGAAATTGAAGTGGTGATGACTATGGCAAGCTGCAAGGTGGTCGCCGGTCTACTCGGATTCTTGAATTCCCTTGTCAATGGACAGCAAAAAAAGATGTATGAAAAGAAGTCGATCACAGTATCATTACCTATGATGCATGGATGTGCAGACACAGAAGGCATTACGCGCGGCTATCACTACAAAATCCTCTGTCGGGTGCAAATGGGTCATGCCGAGTACGACGACGCTCTTCAAGATATTTGCGCAAAGTAGGAGGCAAACTGAAAGCAATCAACCACAGCAAAAGGATTAAGATGATCACATAGCAGAAATACGATGACTTACTGCAAGCTTGAAGTATGGGGAAGTCTCCTCCGAAAAGAAGAGGCATCATCAACTTCATACAAGAATTCAGGGTTGGTTGGAACGGGGATGTTCCATTTCCTCACCGCTGCACACAACACTTGGGCCACTCGGGTCAGAGGGCTGCCGGAGGGGATTTGGTGTCTGTACAGGGGAGTGCCCATAAGGAATGCGAGAGTGGCTAGCCCTGTGATGGCCGTGGGAACACCATAGCCCCATGCCCAGCCCACATTGTCTTGCACGTAAACAAGAATACTAACCGAGAGCATCGTGCCAAAGCTGATGCTCACAAACCACCAATTCGGAAAGGACATCCTGCGCCTCGCCTCTTTCGGATCGTTGTTATCGAACTGGTCACCCGCAAATGCGGTGACGCAGGATTTTATACCCCCGGCGCCCAAAGCCATTAGGTACAGAGAGAAGTAGAAGAAGCATATCTGGCTGGTTGAGGCTTTCTGGCAACCGGTGACCGAGGAGAGCATGGCAACGTTGCACACGGGAGGTTTAAGGGCTGGGAGTGACACCGACATTGTGACACACACCAATGACTGCAAAGGGGACATTCGCAGAGAGCAGCAGATTAGGTTATATAGCTCATAACTCCCACGAGCAAGGTTTGAGTATTTATGCCACTGCTCAAATGGTGCAGGTTCACTAAAGCCGAGTGCACGTGGGTTTAAGGTTTCTTCAAACAATTGCATGAGAACATGCACAGGGCAGAGGGAGTGTACCACAATGTAGCACACAGAGGAGACTGTGATTGTCCAGTACCGACCGAGAAATGCATCGCCCACGAATGCGCCCAGCAAAGGCGTCATGAATGTCGTGCCCCCCCAATTGTTCACATTCTTCGCGGACGTAGATACATCTTCATGAAGCACCGTCGTGAGATATATGACCAGATTCGAGGAGATGGCGTAGAATGCCACCCTCTCGCACACCTCACACCCTACAATGGAGAAGCAATCGGGTGCGTCTCATTATTAGAGGCACCACGACAATAGACGCGATTGAAGCCAAAAACAGAGGAGTGAAATTTGGAATGTTAAAGAAGCATACCGAAGATTAAGCTACAGGCCTTCCAGTTTCCAGATTTTGACTTCACGCAAGGGTGACCGCGGATATCCACAGAGCCATCACTCACTCTCCCCTCATCAACCTGCATCTCTTCCTTGTCTGAGGCATCTTTCCCTCTGCTTGAACCGCTCATGTACTTAACATGCGGGGGAGGCTCAGGAACTGGAGGGTCGTCCTCTAGGAGCATCTCACTGCTCATTTACCAACATTTCAAAACACTACAAAGCACTCACATCTAGCTCTTACCAAAATTGGATTCTACAACAAAAGATCAGGCCACACACAAAATTGGATTAGTCGTTTTACAGTTTTAGGTCTTGCCCTGGCTCGTGCATGATTACTTTCGATGGTTGGGCTGTCTGCCTTCCTCACAAGCTGCTTGTTCTTCCTCTTTCGTTTCCGTTTTCCAGCAGAGGAAGGGATTGTCGAAGTACAAATTTATTAGCATGAGATTGCAGAGATTCCGCGTAGCTGTTTTGACACTTCTGCAATCATCGGAACCTTGGAATTATTGCGGAGCAAACTTTCAGGGCTGGAAAGCCCTCAACATCCTTCTCACTGCTGCTTGTCAATTGGAGGTATCAATCACCATTATAACCTCCTCATTCAAATCCAAACTCGCAACAAACATGCAGTCAAGTAATAGGAGTTCTTCCAACAGACATATACCTCAAGCCCAGACCAACACACTGACGAAAATGTTTGAGGTGCATGCATAACAAGAATTGGAAACTGGGGAGTCTCTTTGTCCACGGAATCAAGCACATTCAACTGCAATTCGTATGCCGGAATGGGCGAAGGAAGCGAGATGCAATCTCCTTCGACACACCAGACGGGAAGGAAACCGCTGATTAAACCTCGGGCAAGAACAGTGGCAAGAGATTACACCGAAGGCAGTGTGACAAGGAATCGACGGCACACAGCCGTGAGAAAAGATTGCATTGTGACGCTTGCAGGGTCCCTCCTGCACAGTCGGATAGTCTACATGGCGACGCTTTGAGCTGTTTAACCGTGACCCACACATACAGGCACACCCTTTCATACCGTGGCAACATGAAACGCGCACATATTGGGATTGAAACGCCCAAATATTTCACAACATGCACACAGCATGCACATTTTTGCGATGGTGAAGAATAAACTTCGATAGTTCTAAAGGGAACGTGGGTGTCTGGAGCTTAGAACTGCAAATCTTTAGGGATTCGAGAATCTGGTCAAACCCCGTCGACATACGTAATTTATGACTAATGAACAGAAAATTAGGAACGTCTTCTGCACATGCTGAACTGGTCTTATGAACCTGCGAAATAACTGGAATGGTGACTTGATGGAGTTGCCTAAAATGATGGGAATAGGAATTACGTTACACGCAGATGAGTTCCCAGACAGCGCTGTGGTAACTGGATGCTTATTGAATTGAGACTCTGCAGGTCAGTCTTAAACCTTCCGCAAGAACAGGGAGACACAGATCGCCACAGCCACGGTGGTTGCAATTTACTTCCTCACTAGAACATCCGTTTCTCATCATGCGCTCAGGATTGAACATGAAACTGGAAGTGATCTCATCCAGTGTTTCAGCGGGGACTAGCAGTGATTCGTACACGTTTGGAACCGCTGTTGGTTGCCTATACACTTTATTGCATCCAGTGGCCCATTTGGGACATTATGATGAAATGCATGCTTCGTTCTCTTGGAAGCCAACTGCTGAGTACTTGGAGTTTGAGTTGAGTTGTGTGATGAAGATAGTGAGGATCGTTCAGTTATAATAAGCCTGATTCATGGCATAGTATAGGGAATCGAACGTCACACCTTCGTTCTGGATTAGGTGTTCAATTTCACGTTGGACCATCCGACAGTGTGAAGATTCAGTTGCTGGTGCCAATTAGGGGTTGCTTCGTTTCATCTCTTTAACTTCTAATTTGCGATTCAACAAACAGATTTTCTTATTTTGCACTAGCTGTTGTTCGTAGACCGTTGCCGGGATCCTTAGAAATGCGAAAACTTGTGAAATTATCAATACATTTATCTACAGATCAACCGATGCGTACAAAAAATATTGCACGAGCGTTATGATTGTTCCAAAATTTTCTGTTAAATGCTAGGTTAAGCAGCAATTGCAAGATACTAGTATGTAAGCAGAGATGCCAGGCAAAATTTCTTTGTGGCTGGAGTCTCAGACTCAGATAAGGAAGTGCATTTGCGATAAGATTGTTTTTTGTCACGGGAATCATGGAACGGTGGGTGTGCAATTTGTTGTCGGTGAAAAATGGCAACGTTTATTACTGGCTCCTTGGCCTTTGGTGCCTAATCATATACGACACTTAGCTCAAGGCGTAAATTCCTTACCGAGAAGCATTAAAAGCCGGCGACAATTCAATGTAGGGTCTTTACGCGAATTCCGTGGGAGCTCTGTAAGTCTTAATGAGGCACGAAGCAGCTTTCAGCTCTATCCCCGCAGCTTTGACATCTTCTCCCGAAGCCGCAAATTCGTAGAGGGTTTTCGTGGAAGTGCACTGCGTTCCTTGCATGGGAGCAATATGAGGTTCAATCAGCCCAAAGCCGTTCCTCTCTCGAAATTGAAGGATAATTTTATTGATGGTACCAGTGGTAATTTCTTGGAGGAACATCAGCGGCAGTGGGAAGCTGATCCTCAGAGTGTGGACGTGTCTTGGCAAATCTTTTTCAAAAATTTCACTGGGTCGAGTGGAGGAAAAGGGCGAGCTTCGTCTGAAGTGACTTCAGCAGGCCATGCTACTCAGGTATCTGGTACAGAAGATTGAACTGAGGATCTCTGTGAACTCTAATCACGTCCATTCTGTCTCCTGGAACTGCATGTGCTTTTCTACAAAAGACATCATGATTTTGTTACGATCCGCGGTTGTCTAAGAGGTGGCTAGATTTCTAAATGCTTCCATCGCTCAATTTGTGTATCATTCTGTAGTGGAGAATGCCTTACTTCTTAGCTCTGTTCATGAAATTTTGGATTAAGCCCTTCATTATACTTCCTCACTTTTCAACCCTGCTTTACCCCCAGGATGGTTTGCGGATTGCGATGTTAGTTAGAGCTTACCAAGTTAGTGGCCATATGAAATGCAAACTAGACCCATTGAATTTGGATACCAAAGCTGCACCTGCTGAGCTAGACCCTGGCAGCTACGGATTCTCTGAATCTGATATGGACCGAGAGTTCAACGTTGGTGTTGAAACAATGGCTGGGTTATTGGGTGGAAATCAACCCCAGACATTAAAAAACATCATTTCACGGCTGGAGAATGTTTATTGTGGAACCATAGGCTACGAATACATGCACATACAAGACCGGGATAAGTGCAACTGGCTCAGAGACAAGATTGAAAATCAGGTGACTGATTCAATTTAGCCTTTGGAGCTGAAAATCAAACAAATCGTTAGCATCACCTAAATTGACCTATTTTCACGCGTAATCATCTCCTGATCATATTAACCTTTAGTATTGAGGTTTTGCCACCGTGCATTGTCTTGCATGTAGACTTTGATACAGTGGAGTTTCTTGAAACTGCATGAATTTAAGCTTGTTGACGATATAGCCGTTCTAATATTTCTGAAGTGTTAACAGAATGTTTCGTACACTCCTGCTCAATGTGCGGAGATTTTTGACCGGTTGATGTGGGGGACCCATTTTGAAAGCTTTATAGCTCAGAAGTGGACAGCAGCAAAGCGATTTGGGCTAGAGGGATGCGAGACTCTGATCCCCGGAATGAAGGTATGAATATGTGTAATCACCTTTTGAATAGTAACGTGTAACCCTACTGAAACGTATGTATACTAGTTAATTTTTCTCTCGAGGATGATACTTTGCTCAAGCAGTTCCTCCATTTTACTAACGAGACGTATACATTCGCAGGAGATGATCGATACTGCAGCAGATTGTGGAGTGGAGAGTATTGTTATTGGGATGCCCCACCGTGGGCGATTGAATGTGCTGGGAAACGTAGTACGAAAGCCACTGCGGCATATTTTCAGCGAGTTTAGTGGAGGCATCAAACCGGTGGGAGAGGATGGGAGCTACACAGGCAGTGGTGATGTGAAGTATCACTTGGGCACATCTTATGACCGGCCCACCCGGAGTGGCAAGAACATCCATTTGTCCTTAGTGGCCAACCCTAGCCATTTGGAGGCTGTAGCACCGGTAGTAATTGGCAAGACACGTGCTAAGCAGTACTACGGTCAAGACAAACAGCGGCTTAAGAATATGGCGGTAATTTTGCATGGTGATGGCAGCTTCTCTGGCCAGGGAGTCGTGTATGAAACCCTGCACCTGAGTGACCTCCCCAACTATACAACGGGTGGCAGCATCCACATCGTTGTCAACAACCAGGTCTGTAATAACGGTTTTTTCGCACTCTCTTCATTCCAATTCTTTTGCATTGGAAACGAGTTTTGCAATGTAGGCTACAACTCTGTAATATCAGAACATTCCAGACTTGCCTCTTGACAGTTCTCTTGTTTTCTCGTGTTTATGTTTCAGGTTGCCTTCACAACAGACCCCAAGTTCAGTCGCTCCTCACCTTACTGCACTGATGTAGCGAAAGCACTGTGCGCCCCAATATTCCATGTAAATGGGGATGATGTGGAAGCCGTCACACGCGTTTGTGACTTGGCTGCTAAATGGCGCTGTCACTTCCTTTCTGATGTAGTTGTGGACATCGTGTGCTATCGAAGGTAAATTACATGTCATTTTCCAGGTGCACTAGGAGTCTTTTATCCGTCAATACATTCTTATGACTGCTCTCACCTGTAGAACTGTTCCTCATATTTCAAGCTAATGATTTTTTATTTTTTATCTTTTATTTATTTTCTATATTCGTTTTTTGTGCTTTATTTTTTCTTTTTTTTTGTTTTGGTATTTTTGGGGTACTGCAGATTTGGACATAATGAGATTGATGAGCCATTGTTTACACAGCCTACTATGTACCATGTGAGACCCTCATTTCTTCAACCATATCTTTGTTTATCTTGTGCATACTGGATTTTGGAAGTTGTTGTGATAAGGTCACAATGTGTTGGTTCAGCCATATTTGAACTTTTCGCATGAACATTCCTTGCTTCAGGTAATAAAAAGCCATCCAAACTCACTTGCTATATATGAGAAGAAACTTATTGAAAATGGACTTTTAGCCAACGGCGAGATAGAAAAAATGAAGGCCAAAGTAATTGGAATATTAAATTCTGAATTTGAGAGTAGCAAAAACTATGTTCCAAAAAAACGCGATTGGCTTGCAGCGTTTTGGGCAGGATTCAAAGGTCCAGAACAGTTGTCAAAACTACGAAATACAGGGTAATACGCATCATTGCGATTTGCAAACGTGACAACTAATCGCGTGCCGTGTTTTTAATTCACAAATGATACATTTAAACCAATTTAAGAGATATCATTAGACAATACAATTAACTAATCAGGATATTCATTTACTAATCTTGACAGTGTGAAACAAGCAATATTGAAAGAAGTTGGAAAGAACATCACTCTGCTTCCAGCCACATTTAATCCACATAAAGCAATCAAGCGAATCTACGAGCAAAGAGCTCAAATGGTCGAAAAGGGTGAAGGGGTAGATTGGGCAACCGGTGAAGCACTTGCCTTCGGAACTCTTTTGGTAGAAGGCAACCATGTTCGTCTCAGTGGACAAGATGTTGAAAGAGGGACTTTTAGTCACCGCCATGCCAAGGTCCATGACCAGAAAAATGGACAAGTATATTGCCCACTGGATCATGTTCTGAAAAGCCAGCCGCCTGATTACTTCACCGTTTCGAACAGGTACGAGATATGTTTTGGCACCACATAATCTATTGTGCAGTGACTTGCTAAAGTCTCGTACATTGGTTCAAACTATTTATTTTCTCGCCGCAAGGCTTCTCGAATCTTACGTTGGGTTGTGACAGCTCTTTGTCAGAATTTGGAGTGTTGGGATTTGAATTGGGGTATTCGATGGAAAATCCCAACTCCTTGGTTTGTTGGGAAGCCCAGTTCGGCGACTTCTCCAATACTGCACAAGTCATCTTTGATCAGTTTGTCTCTAGTGGTGAATCCAAGTGGTTACGCCAAACTGGATTGACTGTGTTGCTCCCACATGGATACGATGGTCAAGGTCCTGAGCATTCAAGCGCTCGTTTGGAGCGATACCTTCAGGTACGTAGTGCTGCTTTCTTCATTATCATCTTAAGGGATGAAGATGTGCATACTGGTGAATTCTTTCTGGCTTGTGTCATTTAGTGTTAGATTAATATGATGGACATATCATGAAACTTCATGCGAATGTTACACCCCATTTATGTGGGATAACTCTGGTTCAGAATCTCAGTTCAATGCTTACTATCTTCTTCCTCATATTGTCATCTAGAAGGACACGCACAGATTAATTACTTACAAGTATTATGTAAAACTAGATGTGTGACGACAATCCGTTCAAGTTCCCAGTATTGGAAGCTGACTCCACGAAACAATCTCAAGAAATCAACTGGCAAGTTGTAAATGTCACCACACCTGCCAACTACTTCCATGTACTTCGTCGACAGGTGAGTTTTATATTTCACTTAACATTCATTCAATGTACTGGATTGTATTCGCATGTGGAGGTACTGTGTGAGGTTCAATGTAAGCTGTAGTACTCATTTGTTATGATTTCCTGCTACAAAATAGGTTCACCGTGACTTTCGAAAGCCAATGATTATTATGTCTCCCAAAAATTTGTTAAGACATCAAAAATGTCGTTCCAGTTTATCGGAGTTTGATGAAACAGGAGGTAATGGTTTTCAACGTCTTATTAGAGATGTTGGCGGCCACAAAGAAGAAGAAGATGGTATTCGACGTGTAATCTTTTGCACTGGAAAGGTATGAATTTCCTCGATAATGTGAATTTTTCCTGGGATAATGTCTTTGTATGTCTATAGCATTCTCCCAATGCTTGTGATCCACTTAATCAGAATTTTTACTCCGAACTTTTCGAGCATCAGTATCTAGAAAATCCTGATAGCTACAACCATATTGTTTTAATAAACATAGTCAAATTGACAATTCTCAGCTAATATCTTTGAGTTTCTTAGGTGGATCAGATTCTAACAATTGATGAAACTTGTGGCGTCAGATCTATTATGAACTCGACGAAGAAAGAGAAAGAGCTGCAGCGAAGGACGTTGCAATATGCAGAGTTGAGCAAATATGCCCTTTTCCCTTTGACCTCGTACTACGAGAACTCAAGCGATATCCTAGTAAGTACCATGTACTCGTCTGTACAGTTTTCTTTTTCTTCTTGTAGGTTATTTTTCATTACAAATTTTTATTCAAACCACACACGCCCTGCACCTGAGTCTAATTATCATGATCCGGTGTATTCTATCACCAGAGGCTGAAATTGTGTGGTGTCAAGAGGAGCCGATGAACATGGGTCCATTTCTGTTCGTGTTTCCTCGTTTAGGAGCAGCCATGAAATCGGCGTGCAGGGGAAAACTTGAAGACATCAAGTATGCAGGGAGGCCTGCGTCTGCATCACCCGCAACAGGATTTGGCGATCTTCACACTAAAGAGCAGAAAGGACTAGTTGAAAGGGCAATTCAGAAATCGCTCCTTGCTTTGATAGAATTAAACGGGTAGTATTGGTCATCGAGTCAATGCAGCAGACAGAGTTGTGGAATGAATTAGTAAGTCTGTTTTGGTCATCTCCAACTTTGAGGATTAATTCCCGTTGTTGCTACATAGAGTTGCTTGTCTTGGTTGTCGTGGCCAAATGCAAGCAAAGTTTTGAAAAGAGATTTTAAAAATGAACACCTCAACCTTCCCTTTCTTAACGACGGGAATGGGGTTGGCTCATCAATGTCGTCAAAAGCGAGGTGGTAGTAGCACCTCTACCACTGGGGTTGGATTGATGCGTAATCGTTGAGCTTGAAGGTGCAATAATATTAACTGAGAATTTCCAGGTTTAAACGGTTATCAGATAACGTGACATGGCTGAGGGTGTTGGCCGTGCGACGAGATAGTGGTGCAAATCATCGGAGCCTCGTGAGGACCCCAGTTGGTGAGGAATGGGCTGGAATCTTAAAGACTCTGGAGTCTTGGAACTTTGTGGTGACCCGCAATAGCCCTCACATGGCCCTCCCTGGAAGAACTTCTTGCCCCTCCCTGTGCCAGTTGTTGCATCTCCCATTGAGTCTCGATTTACAATCCATTCCAGTGACTGTCTGGAGGCATCTTCGTTTATATAGCTGCAGTGCGACCCAATTTGCAGGTTTCATATTACTTTAAGGCTGCAAATGTGGCCGACTCACAGCCTGGATCATGCATGATACGTCATTCTGATCACTTGGGAAAAAACTTAGCAATTTGAGGTTCGTAAAGGCGACGTTGATGAGGCTCTCCGGAGGCGTTAAGTTTAACGTATGGTATGTCCGGCCAGAGTTGCATATACACTCCTATTCAATACCTTGATCGTAGCATCACTCATAAATAGGTCTCGACTTGTTATTCTGTGTGAAGAGAACGAATGTGAATGACTTTAAACCTTGAGAATCGACCATTTGGGAGATTGTGGATGCATCCCAATTCCAGCTCAAAATCACAGCACTCGCGGCCACGTAGTCATCAGCATGTCGAGCAGATTGACGAAGAATAAGACTCTCCAGGTGAATCTTCGATAATCTATCTCACTCGGAATATTTGTGTATATTCTCGGATTGACAAGCTGTGAACCTGCGCTGATCAGGTTGTAAATTTCTGAGTTATTGAAAGTTGATTAAGTTGACCTCCTTAATTTTCTGTTGATGTCCATCGCCGTCCCTGCAAGTTAGATAAAAAAAAATCCTAGGAGGAATATCACAACTCCGTAGTTATTAGGACTCTGCAACCATTGCCTGGTTGTACATGAATCTCGATCATCTTCAAATTTTTGTGTTTGATGCACGAAGTGCTTGAGAGGTAGATCATCGAAAGGATGGCAATTTTGCAAGATTCCTCGAAGATTCCCCACTCCCAATGCTATTTACGTGTCTTGTCCCACATCCTTTAACAATTTTAGGATTAAAGCACCGAAGTTTTAAAACCATACCATTACAGGCTTTCCAATCAGAAGTACCAATGTTGCCAGCGAAGGTTCCCTCCTGGTACAAGTACGAGGAAAAGGCCATTTAGAGGAATTTGAGAGTAGTAGAAACAACGCACCTTGTTCGGTACCCGTACCCAATAATGTGTAACGGATAGTCCTTTACGTCCATGGTTGAGAAAGAGACCAAAAGACATTCTTCAACTTTAGTGGAAAACCATCCTCACAAGTAGCATCTCAGGACGATCACAGCAAAGAACTGTTTCATTCGTCTATGAGATTGCATCACAAGCAATACAACAACTAACTCATCTACTCATGATCCTGAGGTTGTTAATAGATGTGATATGCATTAGTGACAAGAGCCTCACAGGAGTAGGAGACTAGGGCTCACCCTCCGCAGACACTTTCACCAGGTGGCAATCTCGTCAGTGGATTTATGACAGCCCATTTCTTATGAAACAAGATGAAACACTTGCTTATGTCGAGCCATTGCATGAACTGAATTTTTGACTGTAAGAGGTCCTCATATAGGGTCCAAATGAGTATCCACTAGCTAGACCATACGACACTTGAGCGGCTGAAAATTTCTGCAAGAAGAAAGATTCCTAACCAATGATGCAAAACCAACGGGATCAAACTTTTCGGCAAGCAAATTTAACAGGCTATGAATGCAAGATATCTGGGTTGCGACCCGCAACGCCTTTCTCCTTCGTTAATTATATTCGTAACCCTTTTGTCCTATTCCGCCAATTGATCAATCAAGATCACGAGTTGCAAACCTCGCGTTATGCTTGTAAAATCTGCTTCTAGAAATCTACGTGTGGAAAGGTTGGACATGATTTGTCTCATGTTGAATTCGGCATCACCAATATCCACAATCATACCCTAGAATCAAACACCCAGTGCATAAAATCTCTTTGCTGATTTGTTACAATTTCTCGTTATTGTTAACATTATCTTTTCTTTCTTCGATAAACTGGAAATTTCAAGTGAAAGATGTGCTGAAGAGTTAACCCGCCTCCAACTTGTCAATTGGTTCATTAGCACCTATAATGAAATCCACCATACATAGTGTTCTCCGTCGACTATTCTACTCAGCAATTATGAGCGATCTCAGAAGGTGCACCACTAGACATTATCTATTTTTTTAAAACTTTACAGGTCGCCCTCGAAGTTCAGCTCCATTTAAGAAGAGAAGTGCAAACTACGAGCGTCTGCCAGGTGGTATTGGACGTCAGGTAATAAATAAGAAATAGTGGAGAGGTTTAAGGAAGAAATTCCTGAGAGACATGTCATTACACCAACAGGTTCGAGATCTTATTGGTTGGTGATGGAGAATATCATATGAAGAAGCTTTCTTCTGCGAGGAAGTCCTTACCTCCCTTTGCAAATGGGTCCCTAGAAGTTTGTGAGCCCACCACGTTGCACCCCTCCTCTTAAGATTCCGACGGCCCAGTCCTCGACAATTACCCCATCATCACTCACATGCCATCTCTCCTCCTCCGTGCATTCATTTCCGTAGTTTGTCGTCACTCTGAATCCCTCTTTGGTCGTTATTCTTCCTCCAGCTGGGATTGTTTCAGGACCGCTGGAGTGAGAATCCTTGGTTTCGGTCTCTTTTGGATCCCGGTTTGTTTTGCGGGGTTGCAGAGTGTGTTAGTGAGTGAGTGCCTGCGTGAGTGAGTAAGGGAGGAGGTGCACAGACTGTAACGAGATTTGCATTCATGGCTGTCGCGCAAGCCATGTCCTCCTTTGACGCCGCTTTACAGCGCAATGCTGTGAATGTGGTCGCACGGGATCCCCATTTGCATTCTGGGAATCCTGTGCAGAGTGTGCTGAGGTACGGGGCGAGAATTCGTTCGAGCTCAGCTCGAAATGGGCGGATTAGCAAGGACTTTGGGGGTGGTTTTGTGGCTCGCGAGGAACGGGTTGGATCAATTCTGGTGCACAGGACGAGGACCCAGCTTGCACCGAAAGCTTTGAGTGAGGATGCCACTCCAGAGTTCTCGAAGGTGGTCTTACGGTTCTGCTTGTTCGGTGTTGTTGAATCGAATTCTGTTTTCTGTCTTCTTCTTCTTCTTCTTCTTCTTCTTCTTTTATTTTTTAAATTTTTTTTAGCTCTTCTTGCCTCGAGCTTTGCAAATGTCAGGGTTAACTAGCTTGTGAGCAACTAACGGAACCATGTTGAGCTCTTCTTCCAGGGAGGGGACGAGGAGGCTTTGCCTACCAGCGATTACAAGCGATGGGACGCAGTCACGGCACGCGTTGCTGAATCTGCAACGGTGGCATTCCTGCTTCTGCAACTGCCCCAAATTGTCCTCAACACGCAGAATCTCATGTCGGGGAACCTCGTTGCCCTCACTGCCATACCCTGGATGGTATGCACATAGTTTCGCATGCTTTTCTTTCTTGATAGTTTCCGACACAAATAATGTACTGTGGATGTTGCGCATAAATTGGTCCATCTGGTGAACAGCTCTGGTACTCTGTGGTTGAATGCAGGGCCAGTTGACAGGACTTCTTGGAAACTTGTCGCTTCTCTCGTACTTCGCAGGAAAGAGAGAGCGGGGCGCAACAATTGTGCAAGCTGTGGGTGTGGTTTCCACTGGGGTTGTGCTGTCGCAGCTGGCAATTGGAAAGGCAATGCCCTTCCCAATTTATGTTGCAACAGCTTCCGTGGTGATTATTGGCCTTCTTCTTAACTGGCTGAGCTACTTCAACAAGCTTAGCCCTAGCCTCTGGCAGCTATGGGGCGATGCCGTCACCGTCGGTGGGCTTACGGTGCTTCCGCAGGTGTGCTGCGGAATACCGTTTCGCTGCTAATGATTTCTATTCTCCATCATCTTAACGTTTTGCCGCCATTGCCGTATGGATTTTTCATTTGTAGTGACAGTAAATTTCGTGTCTCCAACTGAAGAAAACCTACTCGGCTTAATTAAGTCGGACGTATCGGCAGAGATTTTCTTCGTTTAGGTTTCGATTATCTTCAGTTTCTCAACAAATGTACATGCTTATCAAGGTTGTCAAATGCAGTGCAGATTAGAAATTAATGTTTTATCAGACTTGCAAATTTTCCATCTGATTGCCGAACTGACTTCTTGTCAGGTCATGTGGTCAACATTTGTGCCATTCATTCCGGCCTCCATCCTCCCAGGCACCGTTTTTGGCGCGCTTGCTTTGCTACTGGCCATTCTGGTATACATCATTTTAATTGGCTCTGTCTTCAGTCATTATGGGTAGATTCGTGATAACAGCTACCTTTATAGTCTGTCCTCTATTAACAGTTGTTATGACATGGTACGACAGGCTCGGCTCAACAAGCTGCCACCATCTGCTTTAAAATTCTACACAGGACTCTCGGCATGGACAGCAACTCTTCTCTTTATGTGGGGTCCTGTAGCGCAGGCGGTATGTGCTTAAGGCACAATTTTCTAGGCTGAGAATTGAAACTGCTTTTTCCTTGTTATTTAGCTCATTTTTTTGGAGAAACGATCTCACGCACTGAATGTTTAACTTGTTGACCTTGTTGGACAGTGGTCGAATTATTTGAATCCTTCCAACATCAAGGGCTTGTCAGTCCTCACCATCTTGCTCGCCATGGCCGGCAATGGTCTGCTACTGCCACGTGCTCTATTCACCCGCGACCTGATGTGGTAAGATTTTGCAATAGTGATAATTGAGCTGTAGTTAAGCGTTCGACATCTGCTTGTGCATTATATTCTCATTTTTGGAGTAAGTGGTCTATCGACAGCAGAGCGCTGTATTTGAGATACTTGAACAATATTGTGTCAGAGATGCTTATTTGTATTCTGGTGTGAATACAGGTTCACAGGATCGTCTTGGGGTACTCTGCTACAGGGTTGGGGAATCCTTGTCACTATGTTTGTGTAAGCAGTTCGCGACCATTTTTCTTTTGTATCCACCTTGTGCGCTAATGCATGGCTTGTATGTTAGCCTATCCGACTGAATGAAGGGATGTTCATTCTCCATACACACCCAAACATTAATTTCTCTACTTTCTAACTTGACTCGGGATTTTACGACTTGGTGCCAGTTCACAAACCCCCGACAGATCAATCTTACATGATAGGGTGTTGAACATTGGTGTGGTTTTAATAAAATCATTTCGCCTAGTGGATTCTCTGACGTAACTGTTGTCTGATTTGATGTTGCAGGTTTCAAGTTATCAATGAGGTATATTTCTACGGAGTCAGCGCTGTACTTGCGGTTTGGCTAGGTAATATATCCTTCACCTCTTCAGATGCATGTGCCGCTGCCTCACCTTCGTTTGAGCAAAAACAAAATTGTCGTGTCTATAATCTAAGTGAAATAGAACACAATTGATAAGTTAGATCACATGAAGGGCATATACCTGACATTCTCGTCTATATTTATGCAGGCTGGATGTTTGTTAATGATGCCAAAGCTTACTCGCTGCGGTCTCCCGTCGCGCCATTGATTGAACTGGTCACTGGAAGTAGGTCTGCGTAATGTAAAATCGACAAGTGTCTTACTCCTTCTCACTGCTTATGTCACATATCTTGTGTTAGCGGTAACCTGCCCAGGTAACTGTAAAATAGCGAGAGCGTCGTGCAGGACGAATAGGCTTGCTGAAACTTGCACAAATCCTCGCTCTTTGAGCCAGCAGAGTGATGTCTTCACTTTTAGTGTATGCCTAGACCTGTTAATCTCGACCAAAACTGTTTATTCATTATTCTAGAAGTCAACTACGGATGCAATGTGAGGAAGACGAAGTTTTCTAGAAGCCAGATTGTATGGTTAAAATTGATGCTTCTGGATATCCTCTTTGGAAGGTCCACTTTTGTGCATATCAAGTTTATTCTTTGCTACCTCTCTCTCTTCCCCATTCTGTTTTATAAAATCGTTTTGTCCTCTTTGCCTCTCTACCTTAGTTCCTTGACACTGCATTCACAAGGATTTCTGGAGGCTGAGGTAAGCAGTTATGTTCACCCTGCCCTTAGTGATTCAGATTTTGAACTTCACTGATCAACGAAATCTTCTGTTGTACGACCTCTTTACAACAATCTACCCTACGGACCAGGAACGCAGAATAATGAAAGAAAAAGCGCATTTCACAGTGATGAGGTTTTCACCAAACTGCTTGACCTGATTAGAGCCATTCTATTCATGTTTCCTTTTTAATTACCTGACTTGATCTGGAAGGTCTTGCACTAAGAACAAAATAGAAATAAGAACTAATAACATTGACAACCAGCCTCAGATGTGTCACTGCAAATATCCAAAACAGATTGCAGTGTCAAAGCATCCCACAAAAGTAGGAAAAAGGATGTGTTTGATCATATTATAAACTACACATACATGCACACACTACTTGTACCAATAAGTGAAGTAAATTATGTGTTCGTGTTTTCTTTGCTACATGTGATGACATGGATGAAAATTACTAACAATATATGGAAGTCAAAGAGTAATGAATCTCACAGAATGCCATCATATCGTTTTTGGAAAACCAGGCGCTCTACTTTCGAAGTGTTTGAAATTCATTGTAACTCTTAAAGTGGGTGGTCACATTCAGGAGACAAAGTGCGAGGCTGCAGCTGCTATATCTTTTGATTGGCTGAAACTAGGAAGCCAACCACAAGATTTGAAATTGGTGACCTGTCACCTTCACCACTAATTGTAAAGACTCCCTAACATTATGCCTTAGTGAATTCAGTTCTTAGATTTTGATTCTTGTGCATGTAATGCCAGAAAGTGCATACATGATTTACACACATGAAATCCAAGAACTTTCTCTGTATTGAACTTTAAGTTGAAAAAGAAATAAATGCCCAGGGGATTGTAAACGTACACATATTTATAAATAAAGAATGGAAAAGAAAACGAAGGTTATTTTATTTCAAAAGTGATTACAAACTCGCAGTTATTTATTTTTTTCATACAGAAAATGATAGAAATTATTCTATGTCATCCATATCTATATATTTAACCTCATGCTGCAAAATCTGATGAATCAAACAGGAAATGTTTTAGGTCAGTTCAGCTTATTAGAAACAAAAAATAAGAAAACAGCACACCTCCTCCAGGGTTACGAAATGGTCTGTGGGTAGATCACTCCTGGGTTTTTCTTTCTTTCTATTTATTTTATTTTCGTTTCCTGGAACTGTTTCGAACGCTCTAAATTTGCAGGGTAACAGGATGTTTACTCTGTGGCTGTGGATAACAAGTCAACACGGTGTCTGGGTCTCTATGTGTGTGTGTACAGTGTGTGTACAGTGGATGACTAGGAAAAGTATGTATGTTTAGTTCCTGATTTTTACATAGTGACTCAGCCCAGATTGTGGAGGCACACGCGGTGGTGTTCAAAGGAGGTCGAGGAGTGAGTGTGCCTCACCTAAGCAGATGATCCGTATGAGAGCAGGTGAGGCTCATCACTGCACATTCTTCATAGCTTTCATTGTTTGGCAGCGTACTGGAGCGATGTAGCATATATTTTGTTCCGTGAGGAAGCCTTCACTAATGTGGGTGTTGCCCCTTCGACCTCTTCCCTCTTTGTTAAATCTATAGTCTCTCGTGGTGCAGAGGATTGTGCTATGTCTGTAGGGGTAGTAAGTTGAGCTTCGACTGGGATTGGGGTGAAGGGAATCGACCGACTCTTTTGATTCACCTGGGTCTTTTTACATGCGATTTAATGCTCTGGAAAGGAAGTTAGGGCAAGGGTTGATAGTGGGCTGCTACAGCGAGGACGCGAAGTGATCCTCAGGGTTGTGACCCAACCGCGATGGAGTGAAGTTTCAAGGACTGGGTTTGGCTTACGTGTGTAATCCGACTTATTCAGTCGGTAGCTGGATCATGAAGCAATTTATTTAGGACTGGCGAGAGCACATGTAGCGCGGATGATCCCTTCTAGAAAAGGGTTAGGTCATTGAAGACACCAAGATTCTCGTGGGCTCCTTGAAGATATGTCCTTGTTGTAGTGCGTAGGTATACCGAGATGCGGGTAGAGGGTCAGGTGGGGGCAGAGAGGATGAGTTGTGCGTGGGTGCATTGACATGCTGCAGCGATTCAAAGCCAAGGTACAATGTTACAAGACCTGATTGGATATTATTGTCAGTATTCTTAGTATGATTGTTTTGATGATGATGTCGATGGCGATGGTGTGAAAGGGTTGTTTACTTGAGGAGGAAAACTCTCTAATGTGTGCTTGAACATTGCATCTCATCGGACAAGCGCTTTGGTTAGTATGTTTCCAGTACGAAGGAGTTATAGTTCTAATTCTGCAGTAACCTAATCTGGGAGCTGTAGTCATGTTTTGGAAGCTATAGTGGGGGTTCTGGTTCATTGGGTAGTTTTGTTTTGTGTGCTTTTATATCTTTAACTTTGTTTTTGGAGATGCTGGTTGAGAAGCATTTTACGTCACACCCATACGCCCTACTCTAGGGAGTTCTGATGTTTAAAATGAACGTATGTTGACGAAACTATCATTTTAAAATTTTAAAATTTTCGTGCTACAGATGGTGTTATTTTTGGAGACACTGGTTTTGGAGGAAGGCAATAAAGGTGACGATATGCAACGTCTTAGGGTGCAGTGAGTCATGGTCCTTGCTGTGTTTTAGGGATGAAAACAAAGGTAGATATCTTTACAAGGACAATGGAGACTAAAATGTATCCCTTTAAGAGAAACCATAGCTCTGCAGGTCGAGCTATGTCATCCCTTGTCCTTGCAGTTCTGCTTTTGCTAGCATTTCAGTTCGCAATATGTCTAGTTCAGGGAGAGACCCTACAAAATATTCAGCAGATTGGGACATTAGAGGCCCAAGTAGCACATGCGGCAACCATTACCCATAACATATATAATTCAGGAGATCAATTGGTCCCAGAGTCTACTAAAAGTGTTCCGGTTTCCACAGTAGCATGGCTCACACTGGCCATGGCCGTTGCAACTGGATTAGGCGCCGTGCCCTTCTTCTTCGTGCAGCTGGAGCCTCGATGGGGAGGTATATGCAACGGCGTTGCTTCAGGCGTGATGCTCGCAGCAAGCTTCGATCTCATTCAAGAGGGTCAAAAGTTTGGAGGAGGTAGTTGGGTTGTTATCGGCATTCTGGCTGGCGGACTGTTCATTCTTCTCAGTCAGAAACTTGTGCACGATAATTTTGGAGAAGTCAGCATGCTGGATGTGAAGGGCGCGGACGTTCCCAAAATGATATTAGTGGTCTCAATCATGACCCTGCATTCGTTTGGGGAAGGTTCTGGAGTAGGGGTATCTTTCGCAGGCCCAAAGGGATTTTCTCAGGGCTTGATGGTTACGATTGCCATAGCGGTTCATAACATTCCGGAGGGATTAGCTGTAAGTTTGCTCCTTTCAAGCCAAGGATTATCAGCGAAGCAATCCATGCTATGGAGTATCTTCACATCCCTACCACAGCCGTTAGTAGCCGTTCCTGCATTTATGTGTGCTGAAGCATTTCGCCAATTTCTGCCTTTCTGTATGGGCTTCGCCGGGGGCTGCATGATATGGATGGTAATGGCAGAAGTTATGCCTGACAGTATTAAAGATGCAGGGAAGGCGGAGGTAGCAACGGCTGCCACCCTTGCCGTGACTTTCATGGAGGCTCTAAGTGCGTTGCTGGAAAACCCGGAGGGAGGCTCTGGTATGAGGAATGTTAATATGCTATTAGCTTATCTTAGCTTTGGAATTGGTCCCTTCGTCGGGGCTTTGATACACATGCTACTTCTGAGCTCCATCAAGCTGCCACTGGCTATGGCTACTGGAATTGGGGGAGGTGTTGCCTTCGTGGTAGCGACATGGAAACCCTTGCAATTTCTATTGAAAGGCAAGCTGAATATCCTTTATGTCTTCCTACTTCTATTTTGTGGAGCATTCTCTCACTTTGTGCTTCGAAAGCGCATGGAATCTAGAGCCAAGTCACGCAAAACAGAGACAGTGGCTCTGTGCTCTGGGAACCCACTTAACCCTGTAGCAAGGAAAGCTTTCTTGGCCTCATTTATGATTTGGTTTTATTCCTTTGCCGAGGGACTGGCTATGGGTGTTGCTGCTACGAGAGGATACAGCCTCTACTTAGTATTTCCTGTAATGCTTCACGGATTGCCAAGTGGAGTTGGTGTGGGTAGTATCGTATATGGAGCTACAGGTAGCAAAAAGGTGTCGTTTTTAGCAGCTGTTCTCTCTTGTTTGGCCGGTCCTATGGGAGGCATCTGTGCAGCACTTACTGGAATTGGTCCAAACGGGCTTGAAAGCTTGATTGTGGTGGCATGTGGTAGTCTTTACCCAATTTTTACCGGCGTCCTTTTTCGGCGAGCGCTGAGTGTCGACCCAAAGAGCACTTATTTCGGCGTTTTGATGGGTATAGTGTTCACCGTGATATCTTTGACAACCACACGGCTTGTATGCCTATATACGCCTTACTGTGGCACTTCTCTTTAGCTGTAAAAAGATTCAAATTATTAATCTATATTTTATTCTTAGGTTATTCAGGAGCAACTTGTGACGATTTCGCTCTCTATGCTGCTTTTAGATGCTTCCCGCATGATTACTAAGATAGTCGTGTTTCAGGGACTTCGGTCAAATTGTACCATGATTCTAGGAACTCTGCAAAATTTTATGATCACCGTTTAACATTATCCTGAAAAAATGACGGATCTTTTGAAAATTAATGACTTAAGTGGAAAATTGATATTTGAACCAAGACCTAGCATCACATTGAAGCACTTCACATTTTGTGATTCCAATGTGTCTACGTGTATTCTTCGCGGAAGTCTTTTGGGAATTTATCAACTTTTTTATCTTATTTTACATGTATCGTCACACCATGTTACTTCTGAACAATGTTATCTGCGTCCAGAACGAGGTTTTAGGAAATCGGAATCATCCGATGTCGCTTATTCTGAAAATTGAATCTCTGGCTGTATTCTATAATCGCAAAATATGGAGACTAATGGCACTGTGGTTTCATATGTGCACCTGTGGGTTGCGTGTATTACCGCTGTCGACAACAGAATCAGGATCATTGTATGTCTTGTGAATGTTTGCAGTAGAATGCTAGAGTTTGAGGTGGTACCTTAATCGGGCGAAGAAGCACAATTTAGGCAGCAGCGATGAGAAAGTATAAGAGACGAGGGCATCCGCAAGTACGTACAAGGAATGGGTCGACGAATATTGACGTCGTTGCGGTTATGGCATTAGCGATTTTTGCGGGTTCAGGGGACCACTATGAAGCTGAAGTGGAAGTGGTAAGTATTATCATTCCTCAATCAGTAACTTAAATGTTTGAAGAATGTTATTGTTAGCTTTTCATGAAGTTGGGATCTCCCTTAATATCTTGTGCATCCAGCTACGTAACATTTTGTGACAGTTACTTTCTGAGTTGGCTTTTGCATCCTCCCAAGCGCGACATAGCTGTGATATCCCAATCAGGTCGCTGCGAGTGTTAGAGCCCATGGCCCTTGCTTCAGTTATCTTTGATATGTTCGTGCACTTCAAGAATGTAATGTTCTCCCTCTTCTGATTTATTCTCTGATCCTTGTTTCTCTGATGAATGCGAAGGTGGCCTGGCCACATGTATCTAAACCAACTTGTAGATAAATCGGGGACAGTTTCGGAGCACGTGGATTATTCCACAGCTGCTGCGGCGGTTTTTACTAATTTTCTTCCATGAATCGAGATCAGGGATATTCATCACTAGTTGATGACTAGATATCAATTGTAGTGGTAGAAACTATGGTAGTTTAATGGGACTATTTGATTTTGTAATGTCAGTAATGCTTCATATAGAGGCGATTAAGGGTTGACATTCGAAGCGATGCAAGTGAAGGTAAAGACTTGAATTAACTGGAAGGTCAGTGGTCATGAAACATTTTGCTGAAGAGCTTTGAAATCAAAGCGGGTTTCCGTCAGAATGAAAATGTGGCCGACTACTGTCGCCAGAATGTAACGGTTAGTGAATCGGTATTTTAATGGTGTCGAATGGAGTCAAATGATATCTTTTTCGAGGCATGGCTATTTTGGATTTTGAGGCTCTGAAGAAGACGTGCCACGGAGTCAGTTTTCTTGTGTTTGGTTAGAACCTTGAATACATATATTCCTGTAAGGTGCGTTAGAGTTTTGTTGCAAACTTCAGTATACTGCTACAAATTGCATCGAAGAAGTTGTCAAGAAGGAACATTGCAAGGAGGACATGGGAACGCTTCCGAATAGTGTGGTGGCTGCCTTACCAAAGGACCTTGACGCGCAATTGGAAGTCGCGCAGCAGATCACCCAATTTGCTGTTTTTGGTCGTGTTAGAAAGCTCGAAGAAGAGGCTTTAAGTTTAAGATCAAAGATATCCGAGAAAGATGCGGTCATTGGAAGTCTTCAGGCACGTGTTATTGGAGCAGAGAACACTTTTACAGAAACTACGGCCAAACTGACTAATGCTATGGAGGCGCAGGTGTGCTCACAACATTTCCTAACTCTAATTTGCACCCACCCTCTTCTATATGTCGTCTGGTCCCCTAAAAAAATTCGTTTGAAGTGATACATTTGGTTCCAGTCAATTTCTCTATTGGTAACTACTGTTATAATCGCTCTTATAGGTCTTATTTTTCTATCATGCGACATACATAAAGCTTCAAACTAATTTGGAATTTAAGATTTTCACGCGACCAATTGATGTTTTGAATTTTCTTTCTGTTGAGGTTTATTCTTGATGCATTGGGTTGCATGCAGGCAAAATTGATCGAAGACAAGGATGTCCTCTCAGCTCAAGTAATGAAGTTGATGTGTCAAGTTTCGAAGGTAAGAGAAGCTGCTTTAGAGAAGGAAACTATAGAAATTAAGATTGCGTTTGATATTCAGCTGTTGTAAAGATGATAAATAGCAAAAGAGAACATGCGAACTACAACAAATTTTTATATAATTATGTGATTTTGTGGTCTGGAGTTTTACCCCACGATGGCTGTTTTGGTTCTAATCGTTGGTTTCTAACTGGGCACTTTCGTCCAAAGACCTTACCGTAATCGGCTAAAAGTAGTCTCATATAATGAGGAATCTTCTGGTTTCACTGATATTAATATTTTCTCCGTTGGATTTGTTTCTCAGTTGGACGAGTTCAGGAAGGCGTTGACGAAATCACTTGAGTCAAGCACAGAATGTGGTGACCCGGCAAGAGTCATTACCCAGTTTCTCATACGATGTCAGGCCTGAGCTTGCGCAGTCTCTCTCTCAAAGTCTCAAAATGACTGCATCGACCTTCATAGCATACTCAGTTATTCCTATTTCTGCTACTGTAGTATTACAACCTCACAGTAAGATGTATTCCATGTGCATGCAAGGGCATTAACCATCAGTATGCTCTGTGTACACACTCCGGTCCAAAGTTTGTATCTGGGACACGAATATTAAACTTGCAGTATTGGTGAGGCTTTATTGAAGTCAACAAAGGTGATATCTTGATAAATGTGCTTGCTGACTCCAGGTTGAAGAAAAGAAAAGACCTTGTCCACCAGAATCATCTGGTGAAGTGCTAAAGACCACACCCATTTCGTCGGGAAGGAAAAGTAAGACTTCTACCTCAGCTGATTGATCAGCATGTTTCGCGTTCACGTAAGCAAGAACACTTCGACTTCTTTTTTACTGAAGCGCACGCTCCTCGTTTAGAATCAATCACATATCAAATTCTACTTTCCAGTATATTAGAAGTCAGAATTTCCTGTTGAATAGTTCATCAAGCCCGTGAATTGAAGCATTGTTCAACACAACGGCATCGTTTACTCAAAGTATGGTGCTATAAGCTCTGCACCAGACGAGCTTTCATAACCGGAAATGCTCTTAGTATGTAAATCGTATATATTTTCGAAATACAGCCACATGATGTTGCCTTCGCAGTATAGGAAACACACTCCTCCTAGATGAGAAGGTATCCTTACGCACTTGACCTCAAGGTGTCAGTATGATCTTCAGGGTATCGCTTTTTTGAACATCTGGAAACTCGGAATAATGGTTGCAACTCCATGTTGACTCTTTTTTATCTCTTTAGTTCTCGGAGGTGATATCTGCTCATGACGCATGTTCAAGATCCAGGTGCAATTCAATAACACTATTTTGAACTTTGAGTCAACAGTGAATTCTAACAGTGATAGTGATCACTCATTTGTAGATGCTGGAGCATTTTCATGCAAGAAGATAATATGCCCCGAGTGTCCTGAAGCTTCTCCCTCATCAATTCCCGTTGAAGTAGCTGTGGGTCCTGACGAGGGTCCGGCAGAAAGTATGGTCATACTCCACTACCATCATCGAAATTCATTTAATTCACGCATAGAAGTATTTTTCGTGTCAAGAAATCCTGCATTATTTGTGTAGTGCTACACCTCAACCTCTGCTGTTTCACTTCTAAAAATGCGTGTGCATAACAGTGAAACGAAGTAATACATCTGTAAATGTATCGTATTGTCATTTTTTTTTTCATTTACAGGCAGATATAATCAGTTTGTATATTCAAAAGTAATTGATCCTCTGGTCGCTCGTGCACCATCAGACAGTTCATGTCTTTCAGGTAGAGGATTGGAAAATTACATTTTTCTGTGGATCTTGTTGGCTTTTTGGAATCACTAAAAAAAATTTGCTTATTTGACAAACCAAGTTTATACCTACCAACAAAACCCATTTAATGAAATGAACTTGATGTTTTGATACAGCAAAATCGCCAAAGTTTGATGGCAAAGAGTTTTTTCGACTAGTCAGGTGCGGAACCACTCCTACCAATAATAGAACCTTGTCAATTGCTAACACTCCCTTCATTCATTGATGGGAGTGTATAAGACCTTATTATATTTTATTTGTTGTAAAGTAATATGTTTTGATTTTTTTTATATCAACTTTTAATGGAATGATGCAATTTATCGGATTAGAGCTTGGAAAATTGCCTTTTTATTTTTAAAAAATTGATATAATTAAATTTATAAACTTTAGGAACCGGTTGTCACATGAGCAATTTAATGAGTTCTTGATACAAATTAAAGAATTAAATGCACATCACCAATCAAGAGAGGTGAAATTACTTTGTGCTTTTTGAAGTTTTAGTATTGGTGTATGTTTTTTTTAATTGATAAATATAATAATTTATGACCTCTCTTTAAAAAACTCTTAAATATTTGACATTTTTATCTTAAATTCGTTATCTTGAAGCAAGATTGAGTATAATTTTTAAAGAATATAATGCAGGAGACAATAAAGAAGTCTAATGAATTATTTGATCCAAATAACTTTGATCTTAGTGAAAAATTTGCACAACTTCTTTCTCAATATATTACTCCTCTTCTACTATCATCTAAACTATCATCAAATCTCTTTTAAACTTAAGATGGTCTCTTAAAAATTTAGAATCCATATTTATAATAAAAAATAAATCTATTAATAATAATATATATTATAGAAAAAAATATAAAAATAATCAAACTTACATGATATTGTGCTTAATTAAATTAACTATGTAACATTTTTAAGAATTAAATTGTTAAAATAAAATATTATAACCTTCTTGAAATTTGTTATGTTGTTGCATTGCATTGAATAGATGTTCTTGGCAGGATTAGAAATTTTTTCTTGGTAGATTTCATCCAAAGAATTCAAATTGCAATAACCATGTACCACCACATTGCAAGGATTAAGTTTTAAAAATTACATAATTGTAATTTATGTTTTAATTTTACTTTTATTTTATATTGTAATTTTGCAAAATTATTAAAATATATATATATATATATATATATATATTAAAGTTTCTCTTATTACAAAGGATTTAAATACATTCTTCATATTATTAATTTTTTAATTATTTGATTATTTATAATATGTAATGAATAAAAAATATATTTACTAAATATGTATATTAATTTTTTATTTTGGTAATAATTCCACTTTATTAAATAATAAAAAATAAAAATGAATGAATGTTTTATCTTAAATGTAAAATTTAGAAGATAAGTATTTAATAAAATATTATTTTTATCCAAAACAAAATCTAATTGGTAAATTTTTTATTCATATTTAGGTACAAGCTTAAGTATGTGATTATTCAATGGTGAAAGCTTTGAGAGATATACCTCAAAAATTCTAGTATATACAGTTAATGAATTATTTTGTATTTAATTATAATAATGCGTAAAGCACATGTCTTTACAAAAACCACAATTAATTAAGGAGCTAGATGCATCCATGCATTTACTCAATATCTATAAGTTGAGGTGACACCGTGCTGAAATATTCAATCAAACCAAATTGTGAATCCAACATGAGTGTTGCCTTTTGAGATCTTGGAAGAGATTACAACTAAATAATGGGTTGAATATTGTGCATTGTGTCATGGTATTGAAGGCAATAGTACTGCTGAAGAGGCCCATGTACTTCCCAAGTCAGTTTTTTTTTCTTCTTCGTTTTAATATATTTCCATTAATAACTTCTCAAGCCAGTTTTAATATCCTAAATTTTTGAAGAGGACTGGATTTATTACCAGGTTTATTGCACATGTTACATATTCATTTGTGATGAATGTGTAACATATTAACATTTATTGCACATGCTAACATAAGATTAAAGTACAACTTTTCCAACTACGTTAACATTGTTCAACTTCACAAATGGCAGAATTATATACTCACTGTGAAAGCCTGCCAAGTGCTTGTCTCTAGATTGATTGAAATGAGATCTTGCCTTTCAGTTTGTATGGATGTTCACTTGCCTGGTTAATGCTTGCTCTTGTTCTTTCTTTCTCTTTCTCCATTTCATAGCATTTGTCAAGCTCGGGTCAAGCACTCTTCAGCCTGATGACCAAGTAGTCTAGCTACACATCTAAAATTCAGGATTTTAGGGCTACAATAAATACCAACCAATATGTACATTGTTAAACCAGGGTGCGAACATCATCCAGTTTATATTGAAATCTTTTACTGTATAAATTTCATGAGCAAACATGACACCCTCTTTTCAGATCGGTTTGATTTGCCATATCTAAAGCTTTGCTTAATCTAATATCAAATAATAGTGCTTGGTCTCCAATATTTGCAATTTTAGGATGACATGCGGAAAGAGTACATGAGTTGGAGGTGAAATGTGAAGTATAGAGGTTTTATGTGGACGTTTTGTCACCAAACTACAGTCTAAATTGATTCCCATGTGTGGCATTAAGGATACTGTTAGTATTGCAATGCAAACTACCTTCAAGTGGGCTACTTGGTAGTAAGTACCAGTTCACAATAATACAAGCACCAACTCTATCATCAGTGTAGACTGTTCACAGTTCCATTGTCAAAGACAGGAGGAAACGAGCTGCAACGAAGCAAACTTTATATACATACACAGATTCCACACGCAAGTATGGTTGACCAACTGCTGATCATGTAGATTCATTGAGCAGGCATATCCTTCACAACCTGATCTGTGAGAATGAATGTGGGCATTGAAGTTACTTATTGCCAAGTTTGAAGAGAAGTAGGTTGTAGGAGTTACGGTTGGCAGGATGATGGAGAGAGACCTTCCTGGGGCGTCCAAGTTTTGAGGTGCTGCAATGCAGGCTGTCATTTGCTATCAAAAGCGGTACTTGCGGAAATCAGCAGGATGTACGCAGAAAATAAATGAAGATGTAGGAACTTTCTACTCTTGAGATGAGTTTTTATTGCAGTGTGTTGTACCACCGACGTGAGAGATTATGTCGTACGTGATTTTGCATACAATAAAGAGAATTGCAGCACTCAGTTGAAGGCGAAAGGCAAGTTCAACTCAAGAGAATTACTTATCCGGATGTTGTTAGCAATGTAACGTTAGCTAAACCCTTTTCTGAATTTGGAGCATGTTTAACTAAAATGACCTCATTCAAAAATATATCGTAGTTGCAATTACACACAAGTCAGTGATTGCTGCGAACACACAAATACTGCAAATGCAGTGAAGTTGTGATGTACCAGTGATGTTAAAGCGATGAATTTCCACCGAGTGTGCTCCTTCAGAATTTTTGAGATTTAGGTACAGCTATTGTACATTACGTTTACGGTATCTATATATGACTTGTTTTGCAGAACATAGGTGCTCTTCAATTGGTGAAGGGTTGTGAACTGAGGTGGCCCACCTCAGTTCACAACCCTTCAAGGAGCTTTACATTCAATAAGCACAGCAAGAACAGAAGTTGAAATTCACGGGTTGGTAAAGCATGGCCTGCTAAAGCGATTTTCAATTCGTCGCTCTACCATGAATCAGAATCTCAAAGTTTTTTCCAATCATGCAGTATTTCCAAATTGGTAAATTACATCTGGATCATACGTGATCGTGAAATAAGTTTATTTGAGAAACTTGTAGAAGCAGAGTTCAACGCAGTCTTCGTGACGTCTCTTGTGGCTGTGGAGTATTCAAACCAAAGCAACACATCCGACTTAGTAGCGTTTGGTTATGCCCAAAATAGTGACCATGCTTGTCTTTCCATCACAATCTATTATTTACATGACTCTAAATAAAACTCACAAAGGCTCTAAATGTTCAGAAAAAGTGCAGCCACAGCCGTGAATTTGTTCCAAGTGAAATGGTTCAAAAGCTATTCAGATTGCCTCAAAAAACATATGTACATCGCTGGAGAGAGCTGTGGTTGTATTGCCGCACCCCACACTCGCGAAGTCTGTTAACTTTTTATTTTTTGAAACGCCAAGGCAGTGTCTTAAATCCATACATCCATGCAGTTACCAAAATTTCTGGCATTTTGCTTGTATCTCATTACTGAAATCCTTGATTTTTAGGACAATATGTTTCAAAACGGTACAGCAAATAGTACAACATAACAACCCTGAACTTCATGTTCTGAATCTTAAAAGCCTTTTAAGTACGTCCACCATCCTTGCAACTAATCAATTTCATGTGCACATTGAAGTATACTGGATCGACTTCAACAACTTTGAGATGATAGTTTCTTGATTACACTGACTCCAACAACGAATCATATACTTCAGGTAAGGAAGACCTGGACAGATGCAATATTGGACAACAGGGTCTCTACTGATTGCTCCTACACGCATTTCTTTCATCTCAGACGAAAATTACCAAGGTATTCTAGAGAACTGTGCATATGCTTACGGATTTCTAACGTAACTACCTTGTGTAACGAAGCAACGCAGGCGCTGTACACTGGACCTGGTCGGGTTGAATATCAACAACATTTACGACCTTTCCTGCAACCCCTCTCGTAACGTCTTCAGCTGAGTATATCAACTAAGTGATCTCAAATTCAAAGCTAGTTTGGCATGAATTCGTACCTGTGACACTACATATCCAAGAGGTTTATATTTAAGAGCAAATTAAGATCAGGGTCGATCATTGAATCATGTTGTAAAACTGATTATAGAAACTGTTGTGAATGTCATGTAAATTGAAATAATCCAGCTAGCCTGCAACGGCCGCAACTACTATGCCTGTTCCAAGTCACATTGCATTCCACCACTGCTGATGACAAAACAGCTCTTCATGTTTCCACAGACATCGAATGAACTGAGAATTTTAGTTTCTATGCATAGTTCCGATTGCGGCAACAGAGAGCTCAATGACTACGAAGTATCAGAAAAACATGCCTCAATCCTGCCAGTATAATGGAAGCTTTGCCAGACTAGATTGCGACTTTTGGTATACATCTGTTCAGTCACGTCACATCATCTACTTATAAGTTGAATGTCCTCTCCTGGTACAAAGTAGCATGACCAGTGTAGGAGACGAAAGCGCAAAAAGGTAGACGTCAATTCGGTGATGGTGTGGGGCCATGAACCGGGGACTTCGACGGAAGAGAGAGTACCAGCAGGCGTGGATAAGTTAGTTGGGGATAACGGTGAAGAAGCCCTGGTACTCTTAAGTTCACGGTGGTCCCGGAGAAAATATCAGCGGAGGAGGACAGGTACGCCACACGTCCTTCTCCAGACATGAATGCAAATCATGCAATTCCTGTGAGACTCACAAGATCAGGGGAAATCAAACGCCTTTGCAGATCCTCTCAACAATTTTGCGCCTCAGGTCAGTGGCTGTTGCCATGTAGGTTCAGACCATGCGCAAACATATGAGATGAACGTCACCTTTCCAACGATTGAAGCAGCAGGGCATCAAGCACCGTCAGCCTACCAATCACAGCTATGTCACGAGGAAACTCACGCAACTCTGTCCGCCCCGCAAGACCTTCGTCATATACATATGATAGTTTCAACACGAATCTGCAAGTGAAGCCTCGAACAAGTTGAACTAAAACCTGAGGAGGATAATCTATTAGTCCTTAAGTTGCCGACATGTGAGTCTAATGCTCTAGTCGATCATCACCTCTGAATCCACTTTCGACAATTATTCAGATCGGTACAAAGCCTGCACTGGGCAAAGATCGTATACTGCTCATCACCTTCGGAATAAGTTGACCCACAGTTCAACTCAGTGCATGGACCCATCATGTGGCAAGACTGCAACAACGGCGTAGGGTCAATGAACTTGTTACTGATTTCTCTAGCTGCAGCTCACACACGCCAGCTCGAAACAGTCTGAATAAATACCGGAGTATTCAAACAGCATTTTGCCACAAATATATCATACCTTAAAAAGTTTCCAGTGTGCGAGGTTTCCTCGCGGCGGTGCATCAGCCTCTAGGTTTTCTCGATGCAGTCTGATCGAAGCAAGTATGCAGTAGCAAAAAGAAACACCGGAGCCAGTGATGCAGCTCCTACTGCAGCATTCCCAAGCTCATGGTTCTGAATGGGAATGAACACAAGCCAAGGAATCAGGTGCTCGGTCCTGCTCCTATTTTCTCAAGGACTAGCCTCCCAGTCAGATTGAGCTACATTACAACATTATAACACAACTGGGGATGAACAATGTGAAAAGCATGCTCGCTTGAAAGCATAATGTTGAATTGTGAATTTTTCATCATTCTGCATTTTTGTTCGGAGTAGGAAGACGTTTACCATGTGCTTTTGATCTCTCAATACTTCAAGTTTAAATTTTCTTAAATAGGTTGGATTTTTTTACACAATGCATACTTTATTTTTTATGATCGGCATTTATAATAACAAGAAATAGATACATAGGGTCTTAAATTCAATTTTTGGTTTTTAGTAAGATCGTCTTATAACTCCCACCCAACAACAATGTTGAGAAAAACACAAAAAAATAAATAAATAAAATAAAGGATCCAATGAGAGAGAATGAAGAGTGTGGCTGGTTCAGTTGGTGGGGTTCACCCGTTCACACTGGCATCGACTCAATGGGACACGTCATCAGAAAATGAGTGCTGACGTGGAGGGGGCTCGATGATCGTGTCCGACGAGGCAAGAGTTGTCGGCCAGTTTCCAACAGCCCCTTCGAGTGTCTCCCATGTGCTCACGTGGCCCTACCCTGCCAGGCTGTCGCACAATCCCCATTCATCCAACCACCACGAATGCCACGAATGCCACGCACACACCCCAGCCCCCCATCTTCGGGAACTCTATCGGGAACGCTCGTTCTCTGTGTAGGGAACGGACTGACTCTGCACCTGGTATTGTATTGTAGCCCCCCATCATCCCAAGCTCCTGTTCCCACATCCAGGGCTGCGTGCTTGCTGAGCTTCCAATGTTGCCTTGAAATTAAGTTGCTTTTAACAAAATACTGTATTACTTAGAGGTAATATGGTGGTTGTGGTTTTTAAATTAAGAATATGTAAATCACAGTTTTACACGAAACTCACACAATAACTCTCATGATTAGACATGTAAAAACAATTCCCTAGCTTCTCTAAAAAGGTTTCTAATGTGTACATCATGACAAAGTTCTTATTGGTGAAACCAAAGATAGCATTTAGAATTTATTAGAATAGAATATAAGATTAACATAACAGAAAACTTCTCAATTTGAAAAATCTACCACAATTAAAAGCCTTGTGTTATTTTTTAACAACTCTATTGGTTTTAT